ACTGTCCCCCCTCCCCCACCCAACTCCCAAAATCCCATCTGAATCAGGTGCCTGGTAGTGGCCCTTTCCACCACTTTGTTTCCATGGTGACTCGAAACTCCAATCATATGGTTGAAGGTGGAGGGTCCTCAAAATTAGACTACCCTCCATCATCAATAAATGCATTAAACAACGCCAGCTTAACACATCTCCCAGGGATCTTCCTGCTTTAACTTTCTTTTTTCCTCCATTGTGGCACAATGATGGATAAGTATCTGATAGTGGCTCTGTGTCCAGCTCTCCCAATAGAAAAAGGTTGGTGCTATCACTTGCAGCTTTTTACCAGTAGGTTGAACTTTTGGACTTTTAATATACATTATTTCATCCAAAATAATGTATTGATTGACGAGACGCAAGACGGTGTGAACGCGCAATTAGAGGTATGGAGGCAGACCTCGGAATCTAAAGGTTTCAAGTTTAGCAGGACCAAGACAGAATACTTGGAGTGTAAGTTCAGTGGCGCGACTAAGGAGGGGAAGGGGAGGTGAGGCTGGACTCGCAGGTCATCCCTAGGAGAGGAAGTTTTAAGTACCTAAGGTCTATTATTCAGGGGAATGGGGAGATTGATGAAAATGTCACACATCGTATTGGGGCGAGATGGATGAAATGGAGACTCGCTTCCGGTTTTTTATGTGACAAGAAGGTGCCATCGAAACTTAAGGGTAAATTCTACAGAGAGATGGTCAGACCAACGATGTTGTATGGGGCTTGAGTGTTGGCCAATCAAGATCACTCATGTCCAAAAGCTGAAGGTAGCAGAGATGAGAATGTTGTGATGGATGTGTGGGCACACCAAGTTAGATAGGATTAGAAATGAGGTTATTCGCGACAAGGTGGGTGTGGCCCTTATTGAGGACAAGATGCGGGAAGTGCGGCTTAGGTGGTTTGGTCTTGTGACGAGGAGGAGCACAGACGCCCCGATGAGGAAATGTGAGAGGTTGACATTGAAGGGCCTACGGAGAGGTAGACGTAGGCCAAAGAAGAGGTGGGGAGAGGTGATTAGGCAAGACATGGCGCAACTTCAGCCAACCGAGGATATTACCCTTGGTAGGAAGGTATGGAGGTCGAGGATTAAGGTAGTAGAGTAGGTAGTCTAGAGTGTTTATAACAGTAGTATTGGCACGCAGTCTCGCTTTCTGTTGGTAGTAGGTTTTTATAACTAACCGTTATTTTCTTTCATTGTTGATCACCTTACAATCTTGTTGTTTTTATTCTGCTTTTACATGGCTTTTTGGTATTGTCCCTTCTTGTCTATATTTTCATTAATGTGATGCTTATACTTTCCTGAGTCGAGAATCTATTGGAAACAGCATCTCTATCCTCACAAGGTAGGGGTAAGGTCTGCGTACACACTACACTCCCCAGACCCCACGGTGTAGGATAATACTGGGCATATTGTTGTTGTTGTATTTCATCCAAAAGAACCAGTAAATTAAGAAACATATAAATAAGAAAGTACCTGAGCCAAGGCTTGATACCCGGCAAAAAAGGATCTTTTCATTATCTTCTCACCAGAGACCTTGTCCTTTGTGAAGCCATGAACATCTAGAAATCTTTTATACAATTTTCGCTGTAGAGGAGAAAGCTTTACTGACATCACAAAGACAGTTTTTGGCGGCAAATCCATCTTTACGACATTCATGTCCATTCTTTGAACAAATCCTTTCAATTGCTCATAGAGAATATGAGACCGCTGATTCATAATCTTAACATCGTCAGCTGTAGAATTGGTGTGTTGACCATTTTCTATCGGATTCTGAAAGCTGCATCAGGGAGTAATATCATCAAAACACATAAAGAGGAAAGTGAAAAAGTGCAGTGAAAAGACAAGATGCCTTGCCGGTTTCTAAATTCATGACTGCTGCCAAGAAATCCTTCTCTTACAAAATCAACCATCTGTCATGACATCAAAATAATGAGACTACATTCCATATATACGTCTGTACCAAATATAACAGCTTCATTATTGCCTTACACAGTAGTACTCCATCAAATTGTTTTGAAGAGGAGATCCAGTTAATGCAATCCTTCTCTGGCACTTGACTTGTTTCAAGGCTTGAGTTACATCAGCTCTGGTATTCTTGATAATATGAGCCTCATCACAAACAAGTATATCAGGCCCGTCCTGACAAATGGAAGATCTTTTAACAATGAATTCAGAAAATAGGTAATGAGCTAAGTTGCTCTGACACGGCAGTTTAGGTGCCGCACCAGTGTCGATATGGGATCTGTACTAAGATCTGGTCAAATAATTTTGGATACTTTGACCACGATGGACGGCAGATTTCGAGACGAGATACAATTTGATTCCCGAAATCAGAACCAAAACTAGGGTAAATTTGAAGAAAATAGCATACCTTACCTAGGAAATTAATCCTTTACTTATCTACAACTTGAGAATAAAAAAGAAATCCACACTTTACAAGCTATACGTAAGTATTCCACAAAATTTCTCATAATTTAGAGATACTTTTATTTTTTTGAATAATTTTTAGCTGGATCCCCGCACCCGTATCCATACTAGGATCCGTATCCCGGAGTCTCAAAAATTACATCTCGAAGGATCCGAACCCGCACCCATGGCGGACATCCGCACCCGTGTCAGAGCAACTTAGGTCATGAGATGAGAAAAAATTTAGCATCAACTAGAAGTTCAACCAAAAAAGGAAAAGAAAGTTCCACCAAAGGAAGAAAAAAAAAAAGAATGCAATGGAATGGAGAGGACTATAAAACTGTAACACTAAGAGCATGGAGGAGCATTCACAAATCCAAGTCAATAAACCTTAAGAATCAACTACATTCATTTCAAACAGCAAAAGAAGAATCCAGTGCTCTGCTTTGGGTGCTTTCTACTTCCAGAGTACCGGTAGGAGTTTATTTTGCATTACCAACATTTCAAATTCAAGTGGGTTAATTGAGAATGAAATATCTTATGCTCGACTTCAACTAGAAGCATCCCTGCTCTAGTTTTACAGTTTTACCTTTCAAAAAAAAATGTTGATGCAGGGGAGTGAAGATGTAAAAATTCCTATCAAGGTGGATATGCCGATGGTCATGGTGAATATTAACAATTACTATAACGGCCACAGTAATAATGAATAACAGACAATTGGGACGGAAATCTATCGAGAGGGCTGAGGTATTGACTATCTTGCCTAAGGGGTGGAATGGAGATGGCGCCATGTCCTCAGGTCAGGTTGACATCCCGAAGCCTGCCTTAAATCCAACTCAAACGATTTGAACTTAAGATCAGATTTGCACAAGGGTAAAGAGGAAGAAAAGATCTCAAATAAAGGAGTTAAGCCAGGCCACTGGCAGAATAATAACATGGATAGAGAATATTAAAACAGAGGTCCACAAGGAAAATATTAGAAAAATCATCATGGTAAAGAGGACAGTCCACTAATAGTCCCAAGCAAAATTACCTACCAGTTTTTAGAGATCTATGCACATAATATATGCAGCTAGCAGATAATTTGAATAGATTGAACACTGACCCGTTTGCATCTCAATCCCACCACTCCAGAAAGCAGAAATGCTTAGTTGTTTTATACCAGATTAGAGTGCTACAGAAGCGATCGGGATTTCAACCAAGCCAGAACATACAACTCGTGGCATGCAACCCAAAGGGAGTGGGAGTTAGAAGTACCTTTGGAATTTGTGTAAAAAGAATGGTGTTCGTCATATACACCGCTGGAACCTTATATTTACCATGCAATAGAACTGGCTTAAACATGCAAGACGAGAATAAAGATCGGAATCCCTAGATGGATGAAGTGAAATATGATGCAGCTAAGAGCATCGACTTTCAAGGTTCTGAAGGAGAAGCCTTTTAATTATTCATGAGAATTGACTACAGGAGGGCACAAACCAACAATTGGGAGCAAGGTAACCAATAGCAGAAGCAAAACGACAAAAATGAATTGAAGAAATTGGAATTCAAATACAATGAAAGTTCAGAGAAAGGGTAGGGGTAACAAGAAATCAACAACCCCAGATGAAAGTCAAATTACTTGTGGGATGTGGTGGCTCAATAATCCATATAAGCGTAGAAACACAGAAACTCCTGGTCAACAAATGGCAGCCAAATCTTTTGTGGATTCAACAGATAAAGTTGGAGGATTGGACACCATGGATGGTTCGACGAGCCTGGGGTCACAGAGCAGTGTCAAAAAGCGGCAGGAAGGAGAGAGGGCATTATAGTCTTATGGAATAGAAGACTGGTGTGCATAGAACAAAAGGCCAAGTTAGGCTAGCAACCCCGCTTAAGTCACACACAGGCCTTGGCCATTGTAGGAACAGCGAGATGAATTACAAAAATCCACACACACAAATTAGACCCCAAACATGATCCCTACCTCAACATAGACTAGCTGAAAAGAGCACCATGAAGATTAACCAAAAGGACATGAAAACAAAGTAACTGAAGAGAATTTTTCCCTCTCGTCTCCATCACAATTATCACTTCTAAAGGTGACAACCACTACCTGAAGGACTTGACAAATTTCTCTGGCCACGTGACGATCCTTTATGTGCTTCCCAAGTGACAAATTTCTGAAAGCAGTATAGCCAATTAAGAATACACCACCTTTTAATGTCCATTTTTTTAGCAACTCGGCCCTTCTCTCCCTGAAAAAAGAGGTAAAGTAAAGTTGACTAAGATACCACATACGAAATGACTGACAGAGGTTTGATAAAAGAATGTTTACAGTACTCCAATAAAAATAATCCTAACAATTTGCCGATTGAAAAACAAGGCATGCAAAGAAACCACATAAAAGAATAATTGGGGCCTCTTTGGAAGAAACATGCTTACATATATCCCTAAAAAACCCTAAGATGACATGATAAAAACAACAGGCTTACATTATAAAAAGAATTCTGTACTCTGGAAAACAAGACAAGAATCTTCAACTCAATCCGATGACTAATGGAAACAAGAAAAGCTAATGGCTCTCTGACCACATTTTTGTGTCCTAAAATATTGAAATGACAGAACATATTTAGTAGACCAGATTGTAAAAACAAAGCTCTAGCTTGGATTCATGCCGGGTCGTTCGACTATGGAAGTCATTCACCTCGGTAGGAGATTGGTGGAGCAGTATAGGGAGACAAAGAAGGATTTGCATATGGTGTTCACTGACATGGAGAAAGCATACGACAAAGTCTCGAGAGAGGTTCTATGGAGATGTTTGGAGGCTAGCAGTGCATGTAGCCTACATTAGGGTGATTAAGGACATGCATGATGAAGCTAAGACCCGGATGATAACAGGAGGAGGAGAATCGGAATACTTCCCGGTGGTGATGGAGTTGCACCAGGTTCAGCTCTTAGCCCATTTTTATTTTCGTGCTCCAATTTTATGCGGCCTTGTTTGACCTAGCACGACCCCTAAGAGCAAGGTTGATATTTGATTGTACTATAATGAAAGTAGTATAAAGTTCAAGATAGTTAACTTTACGATAAATGAGAACTTTCAACAATATAAAAGTGGGTCCAGTGTAGAAGAGTGTTGTTGAAGAGACAATTAAGTAAATAGAAGTGTGCTCTCTCTAACAGCTTAAGCTTTTTTCAGGTCAGCTTAAGCTTTTCGATGAGATGGTCACACACTTCAACATGGTATCAGAGCAGGCACAGGCTCTGGGTTCGAGTCTCACCACTACTCAATATCAAAAAGAATTTCCGCGTGCTTGACTCAAGCCCTCACGTGAGGGAGCATGTTGAAGACATAATTAAGTAAATAAAAGTGTGATCTCTCTAACAGCTTAAGCTTTTTCAACTTAAGCTTTTAGATGAGATGGTTACACAATTCAACGTGTATTAAAAAGGTTCCCTAAAATATAGGGCCACATTGTTTTGGAATAAACTGAAATATAAGCAGGTCACATAAAAATGGGATGACGAGGACAACAACAATATCAGCAATGCTCCGGTCACAAACAATTTAGGGTCGGCTATAACAATCCCCACGACCATGTTTCTCATTTTAAATCATCTCAGGCAAATATTATAAGATATAAAAATAAAAATGAAGAGTACTAGAAGTTCGCTAAATTCTCTACTGGCATAAGAATCTTTAATAGGGTCTTACTATAGTACCTAAAGTACACATATACCATAACGAAAACATATTCCCAACTTATACATATTATATATATATATATATATATATATATATATATATATACTATATATATATATATCTTTTTCTTATATTGTGCCCTATCTTTCCCTAAGTCTACAATGATTCCAAGAGAATGCAAGTCTTTCGCGAACACTTCCTTCTATATGATTTTAGATCTACCTCGTTTCTTTAAAATATACTCCCTCCGTTTCAATTTATGTGAACCTGTTTGACTGGGCACGGAGTTCAAGAAAAAATGAAGACTTTTGAAATTTGTGGTCCTAAACAAGTCAAAAAGAGGCCCAGAGTATTTGTGTGGTTACAAAAGCCTCTAATTAAGGGCGGAATTGTAAGTTTAAGCTAAACTATTTCCAAATTTAGAAAGGAGTCATTCTTTTTGGAACAGACCACAAAGGAAATAGGTTCACATAAACTGGAACAAAGGGCGTATTCATTAACCATCATTCAGTACCTACGGACCAGTGCACTTAGAGGTCAATTCAGGCATGACCAAACCATCTTAAGCAACTTTCTATCATTTTATCCTCAATGTGTGCTACTTGCACTTCCTAGGACAACGGGGAAAAAATTGTTTAGTCCTACTTATAACCTTTCGTTTTCCTTTTTCTATAAGGTAATTGTTAGAATAGTCATGTAAAGAGGAGTAAATAAATAACCCTAATCCAATATATATTAGGAGTAGGACATGTTATGTGTGTATATATATAGGGCTCATTGTAACATATGTCAATACATCAATAATATATTTTCTCCCGTGCTTTCTCACATGGTATCAGAGCTACGGTGAGAAATTTATCGTTGTGCGTCATTCCAGCGATATCCGGAAAGAAAGAACTCAGTCACCGTGCAATTTTCCGGTGACCTAAGTGACTTATTGCGTCAAAGTCACTAATTAACAGTGTTGTGCAAAATCTAACACCACCACAAGGTTCCCAAGAGAGATCCGACCAAACCCCAGAAAAAATCACCGGAAAATAGTCACCCACGTGCCGTCACGCGCCTGTCGGAGCACTGTTTCCGGCGGCGCGTCTGTCCCACGCGCCGGCGCGTGAGACCCCTTCCTGTCAGATTTCGGCTTCGCTCCTTCAGGACAGTTGGATCGCCCTACAATTCCGAGCCTATCCATATTTTTATTTTTTAATTCCGACCACTTTGAGTTTTTCCGACGACTACACTGATTTTTCCGGCAGCTACAGTACTTTTCCGGCAAACACAGTATTTTCTTCATCTGTTTCAGAGAATTTTCAGTTGATTCTTTTTGTTATTTAGTGATAATCCAACCATGTCTTTGGGAGTCGATGCTTTCGGGTCTAGAAACCCGGGTTCTGGCAGTTCCGGTGTTATGATTACCTCAGAACCTTTAATGGGAGGTTCAAACTACTTAGATTGGGCTTCATCTGTCGAGTTGTGGTGTAAAGGTCAAGGAGTTCAAGATCATTTAACAAAAAAGGCTAGCGAAGGTGATGAAAAGGCCAAAACACAGTGGGAGAAGGTCGATGCTCAGTTATGTAGTATCCTGTGGCGATCTATTGATTCCAAGTTGATGCCCTTGTTCCGTCCATTCCAGACATGTTATTTAGTTTGGGAAAAGGCTCGTAATCTATACACTAATGACATCTCGTTTCTATGATGTAATATCGCGAATGACAAGCTTGAAGAAACAGGAATTAGATATGTCTACTTACTTGGGACAAGTTCAGGCAGTCATGGAAGAATTTGAGACGTTGATGCCAGTTTCTGCCAGTATTGAAAAACAACAAGAGCAATGACAGAAGATGTTTCTAGTTCTTACACTCGCTGGACTCCCTAATGACCTTGATTCAGTACGTGACCAGATTTTGGCTAGTCCAACCGTCCCCACAGTTGATGAATTATTCTCTCGATTACTTCGCCTTGCTGCAGCACCTAGTCACCCAGTGAGCTCATCACAGACACTTGACTCATCTGTCCTCGTATCCCAATCAGTGGACAATCGGGCATCTCATACTATGGAGAATAGACGAGGAGGAGGTCGTTTTGGAAGATCTAGACCCAAGTGCTCTTATTGTCATAAACTTGGACACACTCGTGATGTATGCGATTCTTTACATGGCCGCCCAACCAAAAATGCTTATGTTGCTCAGACTGAGACTACAGTTAACCAGGGATTTTCTTTATCTGAAGGGGAGTATAATGTTCCTTCAGTATCGAGCAAGTAAGCAGACATCTCTACAAGTAGCTTCTGTTGCTCAGACTAATACTTCTGTTGCTGGTAATTCTTTTGCTTGTGTTTCCCAGTCTAGTCCTCCTGGACAATAGGTTGTGGACTCAGCCGCTTCTGATCATATCTCTGGTAATAAATCACTTTTGTCAAATATTGCGTATTCACAGTCTCTTCCCACTGTTACTTTAGCCAATGGGTCTCAAACCAAAGCAAAAGGAGTTGGACAAGCGAATCCCCTACCCTCTGTCACTCTAGATTCCGTTCTCTATGTCCCTGGCTATCCTTTTAATCTTGCATCTGTTAGTCGTTTGACTCGTGCCCTCCATTGTGGTATATATTTTATTGATGATTCTTTTATTATGCAGGACCGCAGTACAGGGCAGACGATTGGAACAGGACTTGAATCAGAAGGGCTTTACTACCTTAACTCCCTAAAATCCTCCAAGGCATGTCTAGTTACAGATCCTCCGGACCTAATTCACAGACGTTTAGGACATCCAAGCTTATCCAAGCTTCAGAAGATGGTGCCTGGTTTGTCTAGTTTATCCACATTAGAGTGTGAGTCATGTCAGCTCGGGAAACATACCCGAGCCTCCTATCCTCGTAGTATTGAGAGTCACGCAGAGTCTATTTTTTCTTTAGTTCACTCTGATATATGGGGTCCCAGTAGAGTCAGTTCAACCTTGGGATTTCGTTATTTTGTTAGTTTTATTGATGATCATTCAAGATGTACTTGGATTTTCTTAATGAAAGATCGTTCTGAGTTGTTTTCTATATTCCAGAATTTTTGTGCTGAAATTAAAAATCAATTTGGTGTTTCCATTCGCACTTTTCGCAGTGATAATGCCTTAGAATATTTATCCTCTCAATTTCAGCA